AATATGAATGATTCTTAAGCATCTATAGCAATAGTGAGAGGCATCTTGAGTTTATGGGAAAATAGGAAATGGACAATTGTTACCTGAATGCTTAATGCAAGGTTGAATTCCAAGAGTTGTATCACACAATTAGTAAAATATTATTTGGTTTTACTATATATATAATATATTGTGTGTGTGTGTGTGTGTGTGTGTGTGTGTGTGTATATGGTATTACTATAAAATTCTATTATATATTAAGTTTTTAAAAACCCTTAAGTGGTAATGCTGTAAAATAGCCTCTTCTAACCTGGACCTCCTTTTACCTCCAGTGTGTTGGGCTACAGGTCCCCAGATACTCAGCCAGTTCTGAACTGAATGTCATGGGTCTTGACATGAGCTAGACATCCCATGCTTTGTAAAAGTGAGGCACTTTCCTATTCTGAATTTATTTTCCTTTTGTTAATAATGTTTTAATAATGTTTTCATTAAAAATCATGTACAGCTACAGCTTTTCTAAACTTTCCAAATGCGTTTGCATAACTGGATTTTGTGATGGTGTAGATTCTTTAAAATAGTAATTGTTAAAGCAATTTAATAAGTTATGTTACCAGGCTTTTTCCTAGTGGATTGCTGTTAGTCACAACATCCCTTTTCACACTTTGTTGCTCCTGCTGGTCCTTTCACCAGCTTGATGAATCAATATCGATTAATTACCATTAGTGCTCTATTAACCTTCTTCCAGAGGCTGATTGAGATACAATCTAGTAAGGACAGTAAAGTGTGTCTCCCTGCTCAGCTATTTCTACCCAAAGCAATTGCGAGCATACAGTCCATATAAACTTGTTCATTCACATATTTTCTTAATGGAATATTAGAAAATCCTTATCCATTAAGTACTTAATTCAGTTTTTTTCTGGTGTACATAGCATCATGTCCAGCAGTTCAATAGCAAAATCAAAAGATGTGCACAACAACTATGGGTGCTGTGTTTTTTAACCTCAGAACAGGCATTGAAATTCAGGTCTTTTGATGATAATTCTTTCATGCTTTCTATTCCTCCTGTAGTGATTGCTGCGAGTTATGGTCAAAAAAGTCAAGATGAGGGCCAGGACAGTGCAGTGGAAGCCCCACCTGATTTTTATGTACATTGCAAAAATGTGTTTCAGTCTGCTGTCACAGCCACCATCTTGACTTTTTTTGGCCATACCTTGTAGACACCCCTGGATTGCTGCATTTAGTGGATCATCCCATTTGAACTGCATAGCCTTTAAGGGACCAAAGTTTTCAAGAAAGAAGTGCTGCATTTTCCATATTGTTGAAATAACTTTTCCTATCCTCTTCTCACACTCGCTTTTCCTAGTACCTTTCTCCCCATCTCTACCACACTTGAATTCAAGCCAGCACACCTGCCTTATCCCAATCTTTCAGCACTTTTCTCCATAACTGTTGCTGCTGTGCTTAAATTCAAGTTCAGCATGCCCAAATGGCCCACCCAGTCTTCTTCCATCTTCCTAGTCTTATGGCCTTACATTTTTCCCTGCTGTCTTCCAGCTTGGAGCACTTATGTTCAGAAGATGCGTGTTCTGACCCCATACCCAGTCCACACACACACATTTTAGTTCTAGCATGGACTGCCCAGTATTCCTTATTTTATGCATGGGATGTTAGCACATTCCTTTGGAAAATATACAATCAATTCTTACGTAAAAAGCATGTGATTGGTTTCTGTTAATCTCTTTGGATTTTGTATGTGAAGTGGAAATTATAACTGGAATTTTCTTGCACCTGTTTTCTGTACAAATTAAAGACTAAGCACACTGTATCATACTTTATTAAAATGTTACAATGCTAGATGAATTTGTTTGGGGGACCATATTTTTTTCAATATTGTTTTTGTAATACAGTACTATGTTGACAAAACTATTACTGCTTATCAGCTGAACTTTTTTTTTTCTTTTTAAAGTAAAATGATGAGACAATTATATGCCAGAATAATGGTATATAATGGGTCCTGGTCTGCGTTAATAGAATCTCCTTTAATGGTCCTGAAATGAGAAACCTGACATTTGATATTTTTGGTCCATAGGATGTTATCTAATGAATAAGTTTTATTCCAAAAACAATCATATTAACAACAGCTTAAATAAAGTCCCACTAATTGATCCAAACACAAATTAAGTACCTGTGTTAAATTCAGGAGTGTGAATTCAAATTGCAATTCTCATGGGGACTATAATCAGTTTGTATGTTTCTATCTTTAATTGCAATTACTTAAAATATATTACCTGGAATAGCAATAGGCCCTAAGGAAAACTCTTAAATATGCATATATGAAAATGGAGAAAGAACCAGGCAAAAGGTCCATTAGCAACATTAATTGCAGAAACTGAAACAGTACAAAACAGTGGGTTTGGAGACATGTATTTTAACTCAGGTTTTATATTTGTCACAGAAAATTCTTTAGTAACTAAGGTTATTACTGCATAGAATGGAGTATCTTCAGAGTAGCATAAGATAGGGCAGGTATATTTTAGACTCAAATTATTAAAACATTCTGTGCACAATTATGTTTTGACTTTAGAAAGTATATTGCCCATTCAGCACCACTTCAGGTGATTTGATCTTGTTGGCTTAGATAGGATAGGACTGAATTCCATTTAGTATTATCCATGTCTTGTTCCTCCACCCTCCAGACCACTCCTTGCTTTTGCAAAACCTTCCAGGGCATTAAGATCAATCTGATCTTTTTGCATTTGCATGTAATGCTGAATAATGGCTTTGTGTGAGACAGAACCAACTGTCACCTAGGCATGCAAAGGAGAAAAATTCCCAACACAAGTACGAAGTGATTAGAGTGTTCTATTTCCATATTAAATTAATTAAACTGATATAACTTCAAGCACAATAGTGAAAATGAGCCACATTTATAAGTCACGTTTGGCTCCTTTTTGTTAACAAATTAGTTAACCCTACTTTCTATATGTTGGAATTAATCTAAAGCACAGAATGAAAGGTGGTACTTCGTTGCATGCTGAAGAAAGCAAAGCCAGCAGCAGTGGGGATTGGGACGATGTGCATAGTGTTAAACTACCTGTGGCCAAATGGATGTGCTATGACCCACATCTCTAGATGTGCCATGACCCACTGCTGCCACCACCAGCATGGCATCATGGGTATTAGTCCAGCACAGCACGGCTGTTATGGATGGCAGGCCTATGTCAAACAATAGTATGTCCAAACAGCCCATCAGTACTTGATCAAATGGAGCAACTTTCTTCTGTGTGACTGTCTTGGACTGTTGGATTCATAGAAGATATGGTTTGTCTCCAAATAAAATTGAGAAAAGCAAATGACTGTAATCGTTTGAATATGTCAGTGACTCAAGGTGCTTGGAAAAGGTATTTCTGATTTTAGGAGGAATATAGATTATATGTTTTCAGTATCTGTGATTGTAAAATGTTAGACAATATAAGCAATAAATGGCATACTATAAACTCCAAATAGCCTGAATTTGGCCAAAATATCCCTAAGTCAATTATCAAGTTATCTGAACTACATTTCCACAAAACTGATGAGGCTGTGTCTTCATCCACCTCAATTTTTCTTGCATAGCATCTGTTCAGATTAATGGGTTGGGCTGGATTTCTTGTACTCTGGTCATGTGCATTTCTCCTGTTTGAAGGGTGGTTCCTAAGCAAGAATGGAAATATGTCCAAACCAGAGCTCATCATCAGGATTCTTACAGCCCTAAGGCCGGGTACAGTCAAAGTATCTAATAATAGCAGCATTAGATCCTTCTAACCAAACCAGAGCTGTTTTCATTTTGTGTCAATAGAAGAAACCTAGAATAGCTTATTTTACTGAATGTACGTTCAAATGCAAAGTCCTCCAAAAAAGGGTGACAGCACAAGCTAACCAGTTACTTTTCTTGGGGACAGCCCCCTGAGGTCTATGTCCAGGAGCTATGGAAATGCTCCAAGGAGCTTGATGACTTGCACTCA